GGGGGAAGGGGAGGGGAGTCCACCCTTTTAGCTGGCTGAGCAGCAACTAGTGACTGAATGATGAGCTCTTAAAAGTAAAACATGAGGAAAAAAAGTTTTCCTCTGTCCAGTCGTAGATGACGTTACCCAATGTTTTCATTCATCATTCAGCAGATTCTAATTTTTAATGACCAGCTTGGGTTTCACTAAATTCTTCAGCAACAAGCTGCAGTTATCTGATGACAGTCTCCATTTGTAGGTAAGACAGCGAGTCCTATAGAAACAAGAATAAAACAAAAACATTATCTATGCAGTTCAACAACATGGTGGCAAGCTTTACTTTGCATTCCTGAATCATAACCCTTATGTAAAAAATTACAATTATTGATTTGATTAAAACAAATCTCTGATTTTAGCTGACTTTGTGATTTCCTTAGCAAATCTAAAAAAATCGTTAAAAATCTTTGCATTTACAAGTTAGCTGACTTTGAATGTGCAAATATGKATGAAAATAAATAACTGAGCTGACAAGAACATTTCTAAATATGCCCTCCTTTAAAAAATCTTTTGAAAATTTAAATTGTGTAGTGCATTTTTACTAAGAGAGTTTAAAGAAACTTTCAACAGGTTAGATAAGACGTGGCTGTAAATGTTATGACTGTTTAGTGCAAAGCTTATTAGGACTTCTGCAATGACTTCAAACTGACTCACTGACTGATGTGATGCAGGTTATAGTAAGATAATACTGTCTTTGGCTTTACATGAGATGTACACACAGTATATTCATCTGGTGTAAATGTATCAGAACTGTTCCTGTTTTTTAAGAAGAGATTTTAAATTTCAGGGTTTATCTTCTGTTTTAACAAAGGTTTAAATTAAATTAAACAAAATGTAAAGAGACCCTCAAACACTGTTTTAACCAATAATTAAGGAGAATATAGATTATTTTATACTTTTAATTTTCAGACTCTATTTTGTTTTTTCAAAAAAATATTTTTATTTTGCTGTTATCTTGTATATTTGCTCAGATGAGCATTTTCATGTAAACATTTGTTACTCAACAGACAAAAAGTCAGCAGACAACATCACTTTATAGACAAACCATAAGTAATCATTACCTTCAGCGACCACGCATATCTGAGCAACAAACCCTCAATCAGCACACAAAGGTCTGAGCTGAATATTTGCAGCGAAAAACATTATTATAACTGAGTGCAGCCCAGTGAGGGTTCAACTGGGACAATAAACAAACACAGATGTCCAAACTTGCATGCATCTTCTTAAGTCAAGAAACACAAGAATTGTTGCCAAAAAAGGACACATTTGCCCCGAAGCACATTGTTTATCAGAAGCCCCCCAAAGACCTAAAACAATTTTTTACTTGTACAATTTCCCATCATTTTGCACATTCAAACATTTCTACTTAAATAATATTAATCACAGCAACTATTTACTTCAGTTTCTTTCAAGTAATTAACAATTCAAGTAATTTAGCAAAAGAAATAAACTATATTAAGGTTATTTCATGCAAACATCCAACCTGTTAAGTCATTTGTAAAAGGAATTGACTTTAGTTCTGAATAATTTTAATGACATATTTAGCTGTTAGCTGGTGTTAGCTTTAGCTACTGGTTTCACATTGTAAGTTCATTTAAATCTAGTTTGTCTGCATTTGAAGCAAACACTGTTCTGTGTCACACGCTGATGAGAACACAAAACCTTGGAAAATATTCCATTTGTTTCAAAACATAACTCTTAAAATGAAAATAGCTTTGTTTTAATACATAACACATAAAAACTAGAAAAACTAAAAAGATGGCTGTACAGAGGGCTGATTTTGTTGCTTTATACAAATTAAATGAACACATATAAAACAAACAAACAAAAAAAAAGGAATTAGAAGATCCACTTTTTATTTTAGACATTATTTTCACTAAATAATGACTCATGATTGATTTAAAATGATCTGGCCCATACTGTACCTGAGCAGATCAGTGCTTTTGAGCCTTAGTCAAGTTAGTCTCCATCACACACCTGTTTACTGAAGCTGTTAGGAGACACACCTCTCACCAAAACCACAAAGCTCGTGGATTGTTTTTAAACGGGACTTTGTGGGTTTATGTGACTTTTGTGCAGTTAACATTTTCACAGAACAGGGGTCTTATTCAATGACAACTTGTTTCACTATCAAGCTTTAATCTGAGTTTAGTTCTGACACTGATGAAAAATAAAGTTKTATTTCTGTTTTCGACAGGGTTTTAATAGACATGAATTATTTATTCTTTTTTTTTCATGGGGAGCAGACGACTATCTCCAGCAGTCATTGGGTGAAATATGACTTAGAGGGGCACTTTCACCCAAATATATAATAAATGTAATTATCTCACTAGATATCTGGAAGAAAAGAGACACTTAGACAAMAACAGCTTTGACTAGGAAATATCTGAGAGCTTGTCTTAAGAGATATAGCGTTTTTAAAAGCTCAAAATTGTCATGCTTCATCTAAAACACAAAGAATAAAAACTTTTACATGTTACAAGCTGTACAAGAATGATTGTGCATTTGCAGTGGCTGCTCTGGGTTTTTAAATAATTAGCCAAGAACTGATTGAACACTTTTTACAAACCTTAGTTTTAGTTAAGATTGAGAATTTGGTTGTGTCCATTATTTTAGTACTTTAGTCAGTTCTACTACTTATAATTGACTGTAACCTTCCTGAATATTTTAAGGCTTTGGTTTTTTGATTTATTTACAGCCCCAGTTCTGAAGAACGGAATATTTTCCTTCAAAAGCTCCAGCGATCCGTCTTCTCAGCTCCTACATGTTTACAGATTATTGTTAAAAGAAGAAGGGATGATTGGTAAACATGTCCTTGTTCTAACACTGTTGAAATGTGTTGTTGCCAATACATTGAAAAAATGACCTGCTTGGTACAATGTCGTTACATCTGCTGAGTTTACCATGTTTTATTGTGAATAAAATATGGATTTATGAGATTTGCATCTTCTTTCATTCACATTTTACACAACAACCTAACTTTTTCCTGAATTAGAGTCAGCATATATGATTTTTTAAATAATAAAAATATTATAAGTCTTTTTGATTGAGGGTTTACAACTGAAAATGGTGTAAAATAAAAACAAACGCAGACTTCACACACACACACACACACACACACACACACACACACACACACACACACACACACACACACACACACACACACACACACACACACACACACACACACACACACACACACACACACACACACACACACACACAAAGGAAAAACCTGTTTTAGCTCACTGTGCTGATGCTCAGGTTGGACAGAGCCTTAAGGGCCTTACATGTTTACATGTTGGGAGGTAAAAAATGTTGAAGACCAAACTTAAACCGGAAATAAAATAAAACTAGAGAACGGTCTTCAAAGACTTAGGATGCTTCGTTATCTTCAAACACATTACGATACGTAAATGACGAACTGCTATTTTACACTAATGTAATAAGCCTACATACCAGCCATATAATGATTATTTCACGTAAACATCCAACCTGATAAGTCGTTTGTAAAAGGAAAATACTTTAGTGCTGAATGATTTGACGATATATTTTTAGCTGTTAGCTGGTGTTAGCTCTAGACTTAGGCTGGTTTCACTACATAACGAAGTACATTTAAATGCATTTTGTCTGCATTGAAGCAAACGCCGAATGCTTAGATATGTACAAGTGTTTAACACAATGTTATTTTCCAGAACAGAASTTAAAATATTCAACTCACGGCGTAGTTTGAAGCTCTTAACTGCTGCCTTCGGCTCTCTTCTTTCACTGTTGACAGTTTGCATGACACATGGATGACCGACGTTGCTTTTGGCCAATAGGGAAGGGGAACCGATCTAAAAAGGCGGGACACACAAACCTCTTTAGCCAATCAGTAGCCATAAAAAAAATCGATAGCCCGTTAGCGGCTCCTAGCGTTGGATCAGAGAAACTGCCTGGTGTTTTTATTAACCTTCATCCATCCAGCCATTCAGCTTCTTTTCAATGCCAAGTCACGACCTGTGTCCTATCTCCTGCGGTCAAAATGCGAGACACATMACACCTATAGTTACCATTTAATCAAAAACGGATGCTTTTGGTCTGTGAGAGAAAACCGGAGTACCTGGAGTAAACCCAGGAGTGCACAGTCCTGGGAGAACATGTAAACATCCCAGAAAAAGGCCACATGTAGGAGTAAAACCTGAGACCTTCCTCTGAGGCAGCATCCTCTAGTATTTTATGACCGTATAGACCCTACTCTTGCTCCCACAGACCAAGACATATTGGTTACTTTAAATTGTCCCTAGTTGACAAGGTAAATAGTTGTTTCTATTGCCCTGTGATGGTGACATTTGGGGGCGATTTTAAGACAAAAATCCCACATTTGGGGACAATTGATGCATTTGGGGACCTAAATCGAGTCCCAATTTGGTTTAAATGCCATTGGTGGGTTGGGGGTTGGGTTTACGACCAAGATGTGAAT